AGATGTGTATAAGAGTGAATGATAAAGTCGTCCCCTGGACCCTGGATGACGTACATTGGCAAACCAAAACAAACTTTCTCTGTTCCCTAGGAAGTGTACCTAGTCGTTCGCTATTTCTTTAGCACACGAAACTAGTATAATCATTTAATGCCACAACATTCTACCAGTTACCCATTAATATTCCTAGGTAGAAAAAGACAAATGTATAAAGTGCAATTGCCCAAGGACACAAGCGACTTCCAGCGCGAGAACCCCTGACTGACCTCAATGTTGGGATTTAAATGTACTAATTGGAGTGGAAATATATAAATTAATAAAATGATTAATATGATGAAATGACGTAGGATTAAACAAATTTAACAGATCCAAAAAGTATAGATCTATAAAATCAAAACAAATGATCTGATTATATAGCCATATATATATATATATAATGAACAAATGTAGTTGGCAATACTAGCAACGTATAGTGCCTGTCTCTTATACACATCTAGATGTGTATAAGAGACAGGTATGACAGTGGATAGTGGAAGTATGTTTTAAGGACCTAACTGATAGCCAGAGTCCTTGGACACAAACAGCTCTGGGCATATATAAACCTAATCACATCTTGAATCAATCCGCTGCTGCCAAAACAGATTCCTACCACATTCTAAGGTACATCAGACATTGCAACAGGAAACAAAACTAAGATATTTCTATTAACAGAGATATCTCTGTTAATAGAGATATCTTAGTTTTAAAAAGAGATATCTTAGTTTTAAACAGAGATATCTTAGTTTTAAATAGAGATATCTCTATTAATAAAGATATCTTAATTCATAGAGATATCTATATTAAAAACTAAGATATCTTTATTAAAAACTAAGATATCTCTATTTAAAATTAAGATATCTCTATTAAAAACTAAGATATCTCTATTAACAATGAAAATAGAGATATCTTAGTTTTAAATAGAGATATCTTAGTTATAAATGGAGATATCTCAGTTTTAAATAGAGATATCTTAGTTTTAAATAGAGATATCTCTTTTAATAGAGATATCTTTATTAATAAAGATATCTCTATTTAAAACTAAGATATCTCTATTAATAAAGATATCTCTATTAATAGAGGTATCTTAGTTTTAAATAGAGATATCTTAGTTTTCTCTATTTAAAACTAAGATATCTCTATTAATAGAGATATCTTAGTTAAAACTAAGATATCTCTATTTAAAACTAAGATATCTCTATTTACGATTAAATGACAACTCGGCTCGCCATAAAACTACACGTATGATGAACAAATAACTATCACTGATCTCAAACCAATCGACTTACAGTTGTTTCTGTAAAAGAGAAAAATAACACAAATAAATAAACTGTAATATTAGTAATCAAATAAAAATAATTGGTAATATACAATTCCAGGAATACCCGCCATTGAGTGGGGATTCCAGGGGGAGGCAGCTACCAAAATGACACGTTTATTCACGACCACAGAGGGCACCATACAATAATTACAGAGTGTCAATATTTAACAACTCTCCTCTTTGATGAATACATTTTACTAACGTTTTGTTTTAATGATACTGTCTGATTGATTCTAGAAATTAATTATTTAAATTACCTTAACTACATAAAATTATAACGCTGAATATATATTGTATACTGCCGATATGAATTATTATCATTAAATATAAAGCAATACAATACAATTGTTTCTGAAATGTGATTTGTTGTGTGACAAGATTTCAAATTTCAAAATATCATTTCAACACCTTAACTAATAAAACTACTTAAAGCATTCAACAATGCTCGATCTTACTTGAGCTCTGTACACTTTTCCAGATCTACGTACCGCATTTGGCACATTTGGAGCACGATCAGTTTCCTCATCAACATTATACTACTTCCACTCTCAAACTCGTCCTCGCTTTTTCTCTCTCTGAGTGAACATTACCCTGTCTACCTCTTAACTACGTTAACTGATCTACAGATTGAAACCCCAAGATATTGGGGTTTCAAAAAAATGTATTAATAAATAAAAAGAAAATTGGAAAAACTTTCTATTCATTAAATCTGTCCATCTGTATAATGTATATTTGTTTTAACTGTTTTTACTGAAAATAAAATTTAGGTTTTGGATCTTCGTCCGAAATAGGGGACCCTATGGCACTCTATATTGTAGTCAATTGGTGCGTTCACAAAGAAAAAACATGTGAAAATACAAACTTATGGGAAGCCATTATGTGATACAGTAGATAATTCAAAAGCAAGCCGGTTAAATTGTATTCACAGATACCAGTAAACAGTGATAAGAAAGCAAAATGAATGACCCAGTCTCGTGCCATAGGAAAGCGTCTCTCTATTGTTGAAGAATTTAATGAACATTAGAAAGAGGAGGAAGTGGCGATGAAAATTTAATGTAAAAGTCTGTACTCGACCTAATGTATAAAAGAAATAAATAACTGTAGGCCTATAAAGAAAACTAAGCATAAGGAAAAAAACAACTTTTCTGCAAATCTCAATGCCCGGAAATAGATGCAACATGTAGGGCCGCTAGCCCCTCCCGTCAAAAGGCAGCCATAAGAAGTAAATTAGTCTATGCTGGAAATATGGTACCATGTAGTTAGGATAAAACACCTTTATTCAAAATAGAAATTACATATTCAAACCACATGGTTTCGTTTTTCATTCTTATAGTCATCACATTAAATACATGATATTATAAATAAATAATATTAAATAATTATTTTAAATATTATACAGGGCATTCGTCATTCAATTTCAATATACTGTAATGTTTTTTTGTTTTTTTATATTAACATAATTATTTTAACTGTAATGGAGCCGGAACAAAAACTTAAGTCTGAAAAATACAATGGGCTTATTCGACTGGTTCATTTCGTTGAGTACGATTTTTTTGTTGAGTATTATTATTATTCATTCGACGGGTTAAAATAGACTTCGTTGACAACAAAAATTAACGTAAACCAGAGTGCGTTAATCAGCGTTAAGTTGTCCACGTCACCAAAAAAAAAAAAAAAAAAAAAACATGGCCGATTGGTGAGTTATACACAACATTTGCGTTAATATAACTTAGATTAAATTTCATTAAAAAAAAGTTATAATATTTACCCACATGGAGTCAGAAAATAATTGTAGGCTAACAGAATTCAAAAACTGGATGAAAATATTTCTTTTACGAAAAACCCATACTACTAAGTTGAAGCAATCTTGATTACGCAACGTGTATTGCGGTAGCCATTTTGTCGAGTATTTACAAGTTCTCTATTCCACTGGTCGTCTTCGTTGAGTAGGATTTTACCACTGCGCAGGTGGGCATGGTTTAACGATGAACGACCTGTCGAATACGGCCATTGTTACGTGATTAGTCTCCTTTTTTTCCAATTTAAATTTAGATGGGTTTTAATTTTAAGATTCTTTTCAACATGATTACAGCATTATATAGGCCTATATACATACACACACACACCCACACACAATCCAAAACACACGCAAATATATATAT